GGGGGAGGGGCAGGCATCCACTTAGTATTTGGGACTGGGGCCAGCCACCCAGACCTCTCCACTGGTTCCCTACTCCACGCCGGCATGTTGCATTCACACCTTGGAGCACTGGGTTGCAGACTGTTGCTCTTAATAGGAGTAGAAAGCCCTGTCTTTCTCCCAAGGAGCTTCTGGTGGTTTCAAACTGATCACTTTGTGTATCGAAGCCCAACCTGTAACCACTAAGCCACCAGGGCTCCTTCGTAAATCAAGAGGAGATTAGAAATCCGAGAGTGTGGCGGGCTGCTGGCTCTGGGCCTCAGTGCTCGTGCTGACCCTCAACCCCTTTTCCACTCCCAAACCAAACTCACTGCCAGGAGTCCATTCCGACTCACAGTGACCCGACAGGGCAGGGGGAGCTGCCCCGGAGTTGGTGGGGCTGTCACTGTGTACGGGAGAAGAAAACCTCGACTCTCCTTTATCACCCCTGCCCTCCGGGTCTCCGTTCCTCATCACTCAAATGGGACCAAAATAACATCTCCTCTCAGGGTGTTTGGGGGTGAAATGAGACAGCCCCCTCCAGGGAGAAATACGCAGCAGGGTGCCAGATGCAGCGCGGTCAGCAAACAAAACGCTACCATGTGGCAGAAATGACCTCCGTGCCTTAAATGACAACATCCGATCCTCTTCGTGTGTCCTTTGAAGTTGACCCAGCAGTTCCTTCAAGCCTTTCCCTTTTTATCTTCTCTCATGCGTTTATTTATTCACTCATTCATTCATTCACTCAGCAAACAACAAACAGCCCACCCTGAGGCTCCTGGGGGAGGCTCGGCTGCTAACTCAAGAAGACGCCGAGGCACCCCGGAACAAAGGGCTGGCAACTCACTTGTGAAAACCCAGCCATTGCGGCAGGGATGACGCTGTAGTGAGGAGTCGAGACTGCGGTCCATTGACAGCGCTTTTCCTTTCTTTAGGAGCCCTGGTGGTGTAGTGGTTACGCACTGGGGTGTGGGCCGCACGGTCGGCAGTTTGAAACCACCAGCAGCTCTGTGGGAGAGAGATTGGGCTTTCCACGCGGCTAGACAAGTACAGCCTCACAAGTACAGCCTCCGAAACCCACTGGAGCTCGCTAGGAGTCAGCGTTGACTCGGTGGCAGTGAGCTTGGTTTGGTTTGGCGGCACTGTACTTCCATGCTGGGCTGCTAATGGCAAGGTCCAGAATTCGAAACCACCAGTCACTCCTTGGGAGAAAGATGGGGCTTTCTACTCCCATGAAGAGTTACAGCCTCGGAGACCCCCAGGGGCAGGGCTACCCCATCCTACAGA